ACTGGTACCGGCCTACCGCTATCCTACCGCTACTGGGCCTCTAAAAATGCCAACTTTTTGTCTTCTTCTGCTCGGCCTCCAGTACCTGGCACCCCTACCACTACTTGAGTGGTACCGGCCTACCTGCTACTTGAGTGTTTTTCCCCACTATTCTAAGTGTTGAGGGCCTACCCCCGCTACTTGAGTGTTTTCCCCCCTGCAACCCTCAAAGTCACGGCCATAGGTAAGTACCGGCCCTGCGGGGCCCTTCAACCAACAAGTACCCTTGCGGGTCACACACACACTCTGCCGACAAGCACTCAGACAAGCATGCAAACCAGCGGGCACGCACACACACAGACATGGAAATCAAAGCAGAATGCGGGAATTTCAGCAAGGCATTCGTTCCAGCGAGAAATCCTAGAAATCAGCAGTGTTCTCAATCTGTGTTTTTGGCGGGTCATTACACTACCCCCCTCTCAAGAGCGAGGTCCCTTCGAGCGAGTAACTCATCCAGAGCAGGCACAAAATGCATCGTAGGAGTAAATCAGAAAGAGAGACTTAGTAAGTCCGTGAGGAGTCATTTTTGCCACAAATTTAGCAGTCTGTCCCTCAGCGATCTGTCGTTCATAAGCGTTCACAACACGGGGAGCATTCTTTAGCAGCTTTTTTTGGTCGATCCTGAAGAATTCAGTCAACGGGTGATAGAGGAAGTGAACCTTGTACTGTATGTTCCTCCCTCATCCCTCGTGAGAAACGATTTTGTCTATCTCATGGCCGCCGTCGATAGAGCGAGGTATCATAGGGTCTCAGAAGGAAAAAGTCTCATCATCAATGTGTGGGAACAGTTTGGACGCATGAAAGACCGGATACGTGCGCAGATGAGGAGGCACATCAATCACATATGAAGGACCAAAATCATCCCCAATCACCTTCAGAATCTGCCAAGGGCCATAGTACAATGGAAGAAGCTTTCGTGATACGCCCTCTTCATCAGAAAACTCAGACATTTTGACCCAAACATAATCCCCTACTTTGAATTTTGCTTCTTTGCGCAACTTGTTAGCATGTTTGATCATGGCATGCTGGCGCTTGTTCATGGCTGCAATAACTGCTTTGAGCAAGCGTGCGTACTTGGCATTGTAGCCAGGCATATCGGGCATCAGACCAGGTGATCGTTCGGGGAACAAATAGGAGAGGGGATTAAGCATCAGCCATCCGTATTGCAACTGGTTTGGTGTCACACCAGTTGCAGAGTGAATGAAATTGTTGTACAGTCCCTTCACTTTGTGCAACTCCTTGTCCCACGTGTTCAGATCTGGCACAATCAATGCGCGAAGTAGCTGGATGACAGTCTGGTTGATCTCCTCAGCCAGTCAATTGGCTTCGGGGTGTCGACCAAAAGTCTTGTCGAGTTTAATGTCGTAGATCTGAAAAGTGAAGTCCTTCCAATCTTTACTAATGAATCGGGTGTCCCGATCACTCACAATGGTTTTCGGTTGGCCATACTGCATAATATACTGCTGATGGAACTCTTCGATGACAAGCTCAGTTGGGGCATGGGGAGGGAAAGGAATCAAGTTCAGAAATTTGGAGAAACGGTCCACGATGACCATGACTTGTGAATTCCCTGCCTCACTCACCTTTCCCATGTCCCTGAAGTCGATGGAAATCGACTCATTGGGTCCATCAGGAATGGGGAGGGGTCTCAACAGGCCATAAGGCTTATGCCTGTGGACCTTGATTCTTTGACATACTTGACATTCAACAATAAATTTCTGACCAGATCCTTTCATCCCTGGCCAATCAAACTGCTGCAGAAGACTTCCATAAGTCTTCTCAAAGACGAAATGTCCACTCCGACCATGTGCCAAATCGGAAAGGCGCATGGTTGGGTACACACAAGCGATCAAACTTCCCATACCGGCGGAATACAAGACCCTCGCATTCATGAAAATCAGGCTGAGTGTTAGGGTCAGCCTTGAGCTGCTCAAGGATGGGACTAAGGTCCGGATCCTTGGCGGTGTGTTCGACCAGGTCCTGCTTCAGCTTCCTTCGGAGGTCATACGAACCCACAAGGCAAGTAAAAAACTTAGGATGGCGTGATAAAGCATCAACAACACGATTATAACAACCTTTCTTATGTTTCAACTCGAAGTCGTACACATCAATGTCATGCAACCAGCGGGTCAGCGTCGGAGAGAGATCAGTTTGTGTCTTAATCCACTGCAAGGTCGGATGATCTGAGTAGACCTTGAAGTGACGACCCAAGAGGTAGTGCTTCCAATGTGTGAGCGCCTCGCGCGGGGCGTAGAGCTCACGCATGTATGTGGAGGTAGCTACCTTGTGGCTGGGCATGCGTTTGCTGTAGTATTCGAGCGGACGCAGGCCATCACCATCATCTTGTTGCAGCACTGCACCAATCCCAAACTGGCTCGCGTCCGTAGTGACTACGAATGTGAGGTTGGGATCCGCAATGCGGAGCACATGATGACTCACCAATGCCTCTTTCAAGGCTTGGAACGTAGTCTCACATTTCTCACACCTCGCATAAGCAACATTCTTACTTGTTAGTCTCGAGAGTGGGTGAGCAATGCCAGAAAATTTAGGCACAAACTTCCGGTAATATGAGGCCAAACCAAGAAAAGAACGCAGTTCGCGTACGTTTGCTGGTTGAGGCCAATTTCGTATGACCTCAACCTTGGTTGCCTCCGGCTCAAGGCCGTTTGCAGACAACCGGTGCCCAAGATAGATGACGCTGTCCCTTCCAAACTCAGATTTCTCTAAGTTGAGGTGCAGCTGTGCCTCCTTGAGGACTTGCAAGACCTCCTCAAGGTGCTTGACGGCTCTTCCATGGACTTGCTGAAAATCAGGATATCGTCAAGGTACACAACCACAAACCTGTTGAGTTGATGGCGGAGTACCTCGTCCATGAGGCACTGAAATGTGGCTGGCGCATTCGTAAGACCGAAGGGCATAACGATGAATTCGTACAACCCATCGCGTGTTTTGAATGCAGTTTTGTGCTGGTCACTCGGATCAACTTCAATATGGTGGTAGCCAGACTTGAGGTCGATTTTGGAGAAGACCTTGCACCCACCTGCCGCATCTAGCAGATCATCTATACGAGGCAAGGGATACGCGTTCTTTCGGGTGATACGGTTTAGGCCACGATAGTCAATGCACATCCGGAGTTTGCCTCCTTTCTTTGGCACAAACAGGACAGGTGCACCGAACTCAGACTCACTAGGCCTAATCCATCCACGGTCGATCATGTCATCAATCTGCCTCCTCAACTCCTCCAACTGGCCTTGTCCCATACGGTAGACGCAACCCTTTGGAGGAACACTCCCTTTTATTATCTCGATCTTGTGTTTGACCAGACGCTCGGGAACTCCACGAGGTTCGGACAGACGGCGAATGTTTGTTGGGACTTCTGGTGGAGGATCATCCTCATCAGGAGAAAGAAAATCAGAACGGGAATTTACATCAGTTACAACTGGATTTGAAGTACTTGGATCAGAAGTAGAAGGATTATCCACAGTAGAAGTAGACGAAATAGAAGTAGAGGTGGTAGAAGTAGAATTGCTTACTGAGGTAGAAAATGCAGCAAACGTAGAAGGCACATGGAGAGGCTTTACAAGAGCTATATGTACATGCTCAGCTTCCTTGCGCCTGCGCACTGATTTGCAGAATTTGTTTGCACTTAGAAGAGTCACAGGGGACTCGCGTGTCTCATCCAATAAGACGGTACGCTCGTTCCCCTTGGCATGGCGCACCACGAACTGATTGTCCGCCCGCATGGTCCTTAGGCAATGAGCCTTTAACCAGCCCAAGCCAATGACCGCGTCGAACGGACACTTGTCCATGACATAAAAGTTGAGCTCATGTGTGACAGTGCGGTCCTTGTCAAAGGTGACGCGCACACCTTTGACAACATGTGTGGAGGTTACAACCTCTTGGTTGCCCACCTGGGTCTGACAAGGGTTCTGCAATTCCACTTGCTTCATTCCCAGGCCCGCCTTACGAATCCCGTTAGGAGAAAAGAAATTAGTGGTTGAACCACTATCAATCAGCGCACGGATGTATCAGCAGTTAATGAGCAGTTTAAAGAAGGTTAGCTCCACACTCCCTTGAACACGGCATTGCTGCTTGAGCTGCAGCCAATGTTCCATGTGAGCGTGGAAGTCAACTTCCTTAGACTCCTCCCAAGGCTCGGTGTATAGCACATGAATTGCAGCAGCCTTGGATTCAGCGTCGTTTCGGGCTTCAAGTGTAGGCTGTTGATCAGATTCAGGCTCATCGGAGGGTTCTGCAACTGATGTTCCAGCTTCCCTTGTTGTAGGGAGTGCTGATGACTCCTCTACACCCTTTGCCTGTTTCCCTGAAGTCGATAACAGTCCTGCACACCATGCCCAAGCTTTTGACAATGCAAGCATACTCGCAGTTTAGATCTTCTTTCCCATTCTTTCTGATTGATACGGAGGGCTTCCCAAGGCTTGGTAGATGCATCCTCCGGTTTCTCAGGGATCTTCGCATTCTTGGGGAGGTGTACAACAGTTCTCCTACCTGAACCACGGTTAGGCCCCTTGTTTGAAGTAGTCTTTTTAAAAGCATTAAGTTTTTCATCTTCGTTTACGTCAGACTCAATGGCTGATGTGGAGCAGCCCATATCGGAGTCCGGCTCTAGATCGTCATCTAGAGACAGATCAGCCGCGTAGGACTGATCTTCAGCCTCCTAATGTTCATGCAGGGCAAGCTGGTTGTTGCTTCCATACCGCTTGCGTTGTGGTTTTCCACCTGCAGCGGGCGCCTTCTTATGCCTGGCGAGGTCCTTGGCCTCTAGGTTGACTAGATCCGTCATGAGCTCTCGCCTAGTAGTATGGTCTTTGAGTCCTAGCAGGGAGAGGTATTCTTTAGGGGCCACTCCAATGACTACATCCATACAAGACACGTCGGTCATCCCTAGGTCTGGAGTGGTGAACAGACCGGTCAAGTGTTGTTCCAAAGCCTGCATGGAGGACCTCCATGTTTGGCCCTTGAGGGCCTCAAGCTTCAGCCTAGCCTTGAGCGCATCATGCTTATCTTGGTACCGTGTGATGAGAAGATCCTCAAGGGCGCGTACAGGAGTTACTCTCAGCCACTCGGTCAGGTCAATTCTTTCATAACCTGCAGCAACAGCTTGGAGCTCAATGTGATTCCGTACGGCGGGCTCAGCATTAATGCCCATGATCATGCTTCGGTCTTCCTGCGGTGTCCGCATGACCTCGAAGTATGAGCGCATGGAACTAATCCAAGAGGTGATATCCGCTTTCCTGTCGTACTTGGACGGCAAGGTGGCCGCCCGCTTGTCCACTACGGGACCGCTGTACTGAACGCCAGTAAGGACTGTGGCGTTTTGGGCTGATGTCCCTGCATTTGGGACTATGACTAGTGCAAAACTGCCGGCGCTGCCGCTCGAGGAGCTGGCACCGGTTCCTGCGCTCGTCACAGTTCCACTTGCTCTTGCCATGAGGACTGTGTTAGATTGAGAGACTGGGACTGCAGCAGGTCGAGGGTTAGGAGGGCGGGGGGCAGACAATTGAGACTGTTTGAGGCTGATTATCTCAGCCTGCAGCTCTTGGTTCCGCTGCTCCAGTGTTGTTACACGGGACTCAAGGTCTTCTAAGTTCCGTAGTCGAACCAAGGCTGCTACGGCAGCAGCTAGCCTCTCCTGGAACCGGTCAGTATTGGCTTCTGGGAGCTGAAGGAGGGCCACCTGGGCAGCTATGCTTGTGGCTCTAGCTGCTGCCTCTGCCTCCCTTTCCCTCTGCACGGCATCATCATAAAGCTTTTGGAAGAACGGTTTCTCGTTTTCGTCTGCTGTGTCCAGCATGGCCTGCCATTGGGCAGATGTGATGTCTGCCATGCCGGAGGAAGGGGTGTTAGCAGTTCTCTCAAGAGGGGTCCGCTCTCTCCTCACTTTTGGACGAACACTCCTCTTGCCCTTCCTCACACTCTCAAAAAGAACACCTCTCTCCCTTCTCTCTCTCTCCGCTGTCTGCGCACGCGTCTCGATACCGGACATAGATAGTTCAGATGAAAGAAACAATCAGTAATCACACAGAGTAAAAGGTAGAATTCCTAGCCGGAGTGGCGATTCATTTGGACTTAGAGAATGGCACGCAGCAGAATAAAAGAATAAATAAATAAATAAAATAATAAAACAGAAGAGAGGACTGACTTATCGAACGGGCCCGATCAGATTAGTTGGAGATCCCCTCTTGTCTAACGTGACAAGGTACATGTACCACAGTAAATCAGCCGAAGAAAACTAACTGCAGCAATGGAGATTCCGAGGGGTGCAGACAGTCGCCAAACCAGACGCGGGGCAGTATGTGATAACATGCAGTAAGACCAGTCAAGATCCCCTTGAAAGGAATGCCCTTGCTAGCCGTATATCCCCCAAGTTCAGCGCAGCAAAGAGATGCACAGGCGGCAACAGATTTGGGCCCGAAAGGTCCTGTCCCGTTGGGCCTGGTCCTGCTGAGTCCCAAACGGTCCCAAGTAGGTCGTGGACCAGGACCAACGAGATAGGGGTACCAAGTCGGTCCCAAACTGCCTCTACCGTACTGAAAAGGAAAAGACAACTTTCAGCAAGAACTTACCCCTACAGCCATTCAGAAATGAAAAGACATTGCACCGTAGAAAGATATGTCATTTAGAACAGATACATCATCCATCCATCCATCAGGTGAGAAAGCAATCCACATGCTCACACACAGAGCCAAGACCGCAGAGAAGAGGAAGAGCCCAGCACACCCCCAACAGGCCATGAAGCACTAAGCAACCTCCCACGGGCATAACCAGGTCACACGACACTTACCCGTGAGGCCCGGCCTCCAAAGATGGATAACGACTCCCCCCCCTGTCTTATAAGTCCTCCTGACCCCTAGCTACCACTACACGAAGTGTCCTAGCATGACTAAGAGGGCCTTCCTACACCCCTGTTGCAACGCCGGATCCCCCGTCGATGTCTGAAGACCAAAGTAGCAACTTGCAGCTCTTCGATGCAGATATGGCCGCCTCCGATCAAGTCTCCCTCTTGAGGGGAAGCCCAAAAGTCACTCAATGTCTTCTTGAAGTGCAGATTCCAGGTGCGAGTACCTCTCACTCTCTACTCCCTCTCGCTTACTCCAATCAGCCTCCTTTGTGTCTCGCCACCCTCTTCAATCACTCACACAACCTGGTCAGGTCTAATGTCGACCCCACATGACCTAACCAGGTGGGGGCAGTATCCACGTGCCCCACTGCCCCACTTAACCCTAACTTCCAACCCTAATCCGAGACTAGGTTTGCCCTAACCTAATTCGGAATTAGGGTTAGGGTGACTAACACCTCTCGCCAGCACGTAAGTCCGCTCCGATACCAATTGATACGATCCTGGTGATTTCCCAAGTGCAAATTCACAATGAAAGACAATG